GAACTAAAATATGGCCCATGGCCTCACCGTTTTTACACAATTGCAACAAGAGTGACTGGTCTCGCAAAACCCTCTTATAATGCTGAGACACTCTCCACCTCCTCCCTCTATGTGGGGCTGATTTTGAAGAGTGCTCAGGAACTTCCGCTTGTCCTCTCCACAGATACAACTCAGCCGGAATACTAAGCAATAAGGTGGCAGTGTACCCAATTGAAGAAGCCTTTTAAAAACCTCTCAGTTCAGACGTCATTCAAATATATCTATACACAGTTATATCTTTCCCTGTTTTATCAATATCGCTCCTGTGGTATTCCTTGTAATTGGTGGCACAGCGGTGTGATCCTTAGTGCGAAGTTCCTTATAATTGCTGGTAGCTTGTGGGATTCACTCTTTCCAGAATTCCCTGTTCCTTCTCCCTGCTAAAGAAGCTCCTTGGAGAGAGGCTTCATTATAATTGGTTTGCAGTAGTGTGGATCGTATAACACCTCGATCCAGTTCATTTTAAGATGATCCTGAGGTAAATTTTAACCAAAATTCGACGTCTAAAAATTACCTCAGAGAAAGAGCTACTACTGGCGCCATTTTGAAAATAAAAAGTAACAATGGCACCTCCCAAAGCAAAGAAGTTACTTCTGAGGAATCTGAAAGGGAAGGAGCTATAGAATCAGTTGAGGAAACTGAAACAGAAACGCAGGGGAGTAGTCAGGGACAAATGACTACCTCTTTGGCACTTGAAAGGTTTAAAATGGAAATGAGAATTAATGAACTTGAGTTTCAACAGAGGGAAAGAGAAAGAATGGCTGAGATGGAAAGACCAAAGATACTAAGAGAGGTTGAGAGAGAAAGAATGCGGACTGAACAGAGGGAGAAGGAAAGAATGACTGAGATGGAAAGAGAAAGAGAACATTTAAGGCATGAGGAGAGAACGGCAGAACTCCAACTGAGTGAGAAAGAAGGAACACCTAGGTTAAACCAAAATACTGACACCACTATGCAAAAAGCCTTAAAGAATTTTCCTCATTATTTGAGGGGGGGGGGGGTTGTATGGCTAGCTTCAAACGAACTTGCCATGATTTTGAGGTACCTGAATCCAAGATGATGGTGTACCTGAGGCCACAGATTTGTGGGGAGCTCAGTGAGGTGTACACTGATCTAAGGGATTCAGAGAGTGCGGAGTACCCCATATTTAAAGAGAGGGTTAAGTTAAGGTTTGGCTTAACACCTGAACAGAGTAGAAAAACGTTCAGGGAAGTCAAATGGAAAGCTGGAGAAACAGTTGGGAAGCAGATTGGAAAAAGCTCTAGAGCACTGGCTAGAGGGGAGTAAAACGACCACTTTCAAAGATCTAAGACATTTGATTTGTATGGAACAGTTTCACGAGCTGATTCCCATACAAATGAGGTGGTTTGTTAAGGAGAAGAAAATTAAACAAGTGACAGAACTGGCAGCTTGGTTGGACAAAATGGAGGCTGACTGGAATTTGAGTCATACCTCAGTAGCCACCAAAAAGCCAAGAGAGTGGGTTCCAAAGGAGAAAACTGACAGGAAGATTCAAAACCCAGTACGAAGGGATGCCATTTCTGGGATTGCCATGGGAAAAATTTTCTGTTATTTCTGTCACCAAGAGGGACATAAGAGAACTGCTTGCCCAAAATTAAATAACCAGAAAAGGCCAATCACACCACCTAAGGCAGTGAAAGTGGTTAAACAAATAACTCTACCCAAAGAGAACCACACTCCACACCAACAGGAAGAGCCTGCGAAAGTGCTGCGAGTATGGAGTACAGGCAAAAAGATAAATGGAGATTATTTGAGGTTGGACATTATTGGCCCCATGTCCCATAAAAAACAGGATGGACATAGGTTTATCTTGACTGCAGTGGACTTTGCTACCAGATACCCAGAGCAATTCCCTTAAAAGAAACAGATTCAAAGACAGTGGCAGACGTGCTGCTTAACTTATTTGCATGCGTGGGGTTTCCAAGATCAATTGTCACGGATCTTGGAACTACATTCATGTCCCAGATGATGCAAAAACTATTCTGGACCTGTAGAATAATTTCTACTCCGTATCATTCCCAAACCAATGGCCTGATGGAAAGGTTCAACGGTACCCTCAATCACATGCTAAAGACTTACGTCCATAAAAACCCTAATGATTGGGACAAAAAGCTACAACACTTTTTGTTTGCATATTGGGAAGTTCCTGAAGCAAGCACGAAGTTCAGCCCTTTTGAACTGCTGTACGGAAGAACACCATGCGGGCCCGTGGACATCTTAAAAGAAGCATGGACAGGAGCAGAGCAAATTCCAGAGACTGAAATCGGTAGTTATATTGAGGACTTGCAAAGACATTTGGCCATCATGAGAGACTGTGCAGCTGAGAGTTTGGCGACTGCCCATCTGAAACAGAAGGAGCAGGCAGATCTCAATGCAAGACAGAAATTTTAATGTGGGGGATAAGGTTCTTGTGTTGAAACCAAGGTCAAAGAAAAAGCTAGAGGTTGCATGAGAAGGACCATATGTAGTTCTATCTAAGATTTCAGAAGTCACATATCTAGTGGAAGAAAACACAGATGAGGGAAGATGTAAAAAGTTACATGTAAATATGATTAAGCCTTATCATTCAAGACCTAGGGCAATTATGCAAGTCTCCCAAGAGACAGATGGAGAAATTTCGTTGTCTGGTTGGGGAAAGGTGTGTGCTGAGTGTACTTTGCCTTCTGTGGATGAGAATACGAACCTCACAGATCCACAGAAACAGCAGTTGAAAGACCTATTACACCAGCATAAAGAGGTATTTTCTAATATACCTTGGCTTGTCACTGTATCAACACAGGGACAGCTAACCCTATTGCATCTTCGCAATACAGTGTAGCAGGAGAACAGGCCAAGTGGATCTCAAAAGAGATCCAGGAAATGTTAAATCTTGGTTTAATAATCCCATCAAGTAGCCCATGGTCATCTCCCATTGTTTTAGTTCCAAAACCAGATAACACCATTAGATTTTGTGTTGACTACCGTAAGCTAAATCAGGTTACCATATCTGATGTATACCCTATGCCAAGGATAGATGAACTCATATAGACAATAGGATCAGCCCAGTATATCACAACTCTGGACCTGACAAAAGGTTATTGGCAGGTTGCTATGTACCCATAGGATCAAGAGAAAACTGCTTTTATTTCTAGAGATGGTTTATTCCAATTCAAAGTCCTCCCATTTGGTTTAAAGAATGCACCTACAACCTTTCAAAGGTTAATTGACCAGATGTTATCAGGTATGAAAGACTTCGTCCAGGCGTATATAGATGATTTATCCATCTATAGCCAGACGTGGGAGCAACACCTGAAGCATTTGGGGAAGGTGTTGAGCAAGATCAAAGAGGCTGGTTTAACTGTTAAAGCCTCAAAATGCCAAATGGCCAGATCGCAAGTCAAATATCTAGGTCATGTAGTAGTAGTAGGAACTATATTGCCGGATATGGACAAGGTACAGGCAATAAGAGAATGGCCGAATCCAAGTACCAAGAAACAAATCTGTTCATTTCTAGGAGTTGTAGGATTCTATACACAATTTATTTGCTATTTCAAAATTTTAGTTCTCTTGTGGCAGTGTTAACAGATTGTACAAAGAAGGCCTCACCCGATAAAGTGGTATGGAAGTCTGAGTGTCAGACTGCCTATAACATGTTAAAGAGTGCTTTGATGACTGAACCTGTTTTGCGCATTACGCATTTGTACCAGAAGAGTTTAAGCCTGTTAAATAAACATTTTATTATAGTCAACACTACAACAGCCTGTGTGGGAACGCCATTGGTATTTAAACCCTCTGAAGAAAATAAACACTATAGTAACACAGAAGGATGTTACTAAGTATCCTCTCCACACATACAACTCAGCCTGAATACTAAGCAATAAGGTGGCAGCGTATCCAATTGAAGAAGCCTTTTAAAAACCTCTCAGTTCAGACATCTTTCAAATATATCTATACATACTTATATATTTCCCTGTTTTATCAATTTCCCTCCTGTGATATTCCTTATAATTGGTGGCACAGCGGTGTGATCCTTAGTGTGAAGTTCCTTATAATTGCTGGTAGCTTGTGGGATTCACTATTTTCAGAATTCCCTGCTCCTTCTCCCTGCTAAGGAAGCTCCTTGGTGTGAGACGTTGTTATAGGCAGCATATAAATGTCATAAATAAATAAATAAATGGACACTTTGTAGTAGTGGAGAGGCTTGTATGTTCCAGTGACCATGTGGGCAAAATCGTCAGAGTCATGTGCTTCCAGGAGAGTTCTCCTGGGTGGCAGGACCACAGGGGAGGAACCAGACCAAGCACAATATGATGTCCTCAATGGCGGAGCAGGTGGATGATAACATGGTACATGTTACAACAGTTGTGAAGGTAGAAAAAGTCTGCAACAGATGAGAAACCACTGGTTAATCATGCACTGGATGTGCACCTCACACCGTGAAGACTGTGTGTGGATTGGTTGTGCAGTGATCTTCACACATAAGTCAAATTCACACACAGGTGTCTTCCAAGAAAAATAAAACAAAACCAACAAAAGTCCCATGGTGATCAGTGAGTGGTGATGGGGCAGGACTGTAAAATCTGGAAGGCCCTAGTCACAGACTATTAAATTTCCCACCACACCTACAAGCTAGTAGTCAGTGACAACAGATGGTGATTCTGCACCAATCAACAAGAGGATCCTAGCCTGCACCAGTTTGGACCAGCAGCGACCAGAATGAAACAATCCTGTATTTCAAGAATCTGTCAAAGCACTATAAATACATCTGTATGTTTGCAATTGTGCTTTCATCAATTTTTGCAGCTCAAACTCTGACCTCCACTTTGGCCAAGGTGAATAAACACCTCTGTTTCTTGCATCCTATGTCGTCTTTAGTACTTTTGGGATTGACACGCTGCAGAGCTGATATCATTTAAGTCCCTGAAAAACGAAGAAAATGTTCTGGAGAATTTATGTCAAATCTATTTACATTTCTCAATTCTTTGATGATTTCTTTTCTTTAGCTGTCCCTTTCTATTAAGATCAGGCCTCAGCAAAATGACATAACATTTTGGAGAAAAAATACAGCCAAGCAAGCCAGCACTGGAACTCAAGATGGAGAAGATCTCCACAGCCACCATGTATTTCCCTTTGGTACTCAGATATGCCGGAACAAAGGACAACCAGACACAGCAAAACATTAACATGCTGAAAGTGATAAACTTGGCTTCATTAAAAGTGTCTGGTAACTTCCTAGCTAAAAAAGCTACAGTGAAGCCAACACTGGCTAGGAAACCTAGGAACCCCAAGACACAGTAAAACATGGTAGAGGAGCCTTCATTACACTCCAGTACAATTTCTTTAGTCACTGAATGCATGTCAACGTCGGGAAATGGGGGAGAGATTGCCAACCAGACGCTGCAAATTGTAGCTTGTATAAGGGAGCAAGAAAGAACAATAGAGCTAGACAGCCACCCTCCCACCCATTTCCTCATCCCAGAGCCTGGCTTAGTAGCCATGAAAGCTACAACTACAAGGGTGGTTTTAGCCAATATGCATGAAACTGCCACTGAGAAGATCAGTCCAAAGGCTGTTTGTCGAAGGAGGCATGTCACCTTCTTAGGGTGACCAATAAACAGAAAAATGCAAAGGAAGGAGAGTAGAAGGGAGATGAGGAGGGTGAAGGTCAGATTTTGGTTGTTGGCTTTGACTATGGGAGTGTTTTTGTGCTTCCAGAAAATCCAAAACATCCAAGCTGTGATGGAAAAAAGGGCAAGAGCAATAGTAACCAAACTGATCCCCAAGGGTTCTTCATAAGTCAGGTAGCTGATGTCTTTCGGAAGACATGCATCTCGGTTCTTGTTTGAATAATGATCTTCGGGACACTGAAAACAGTAATCCACATCTGAAAGAAAAGAAATGAAGCATTTTTAAAGGATGCCCTAGGCTTAACATGAACAAATCACAACAAAATGCTAGGACATTATCATTAGCTACAATTCCAAGCAATGCAGGTCTTGGGCTCAAAGTGAAGGAGGAAAGTTAACCTCCATCCAAAAGGCATTCTTTCTCTTTGGATACAACAGTTGAAAAAGTTGTGTCTCATTTATATAGGAATATATCCCAGGATGGTGAGAAAACATTCTTCATAATAGATATTTCTTTAGATATGTCACTGAGATGCTAATTTTTCTGCCCTTTGCACAAAGTAAACTTTGGGACCAAATTACCTCTGTCAATGGATTACGTTTTCCTCTCCAAAATTAAATATAGCAGTAACAGCTAGGCTTGTGTGTTCTGGGTAAACTGTGATCCGTTTCTGTGTCCTGGATATTGGTGGGAGCTCGGATCCATTTTTTGGTAGCCTCCCAAATTTGGAAGGGCAGATACGCTTTTCACTCTAGGGTGCTGAAAGATTCATTTTCAATCCAGCCCATTGGGGGTGGGGGGAGCTTCTCAGGCTCCCTTTCCTGTCATTGTAGATATTTAAGCTGTTTCTACTCTAGAGGAGAGGTGCTGCAGGCACTACCACCTGCACTTTCTCTGCCAGGGCTGCACAACACCACACACTTTTTCCAAGGTATTTAAAGGAGGCTTTAAAGCTGTTTCTACTCTAGAGGAGAGGTGCTGCAGGCACTAGACCAGTGATTCTCAACCTGTGGGTCCCCAGATGTTTTGGCCTTCAACTCCCAGAAATCCTAACAGCTGTTAAACTGACTGGGATTTCTGGGAGTTGTAGGCCAAAACACCTGGGGACCCACAGGTTGAGAACCACTGCACTAGACCTTCACGGTCTCTCCCAGGCCTTCACCATGCCACACACTCTTCCCAAGGCATTTTAAGGAAGCTTCCTCAGTCCCCACTTCCAGATAAGGAAGTGCGATGAGCTCCTTGAGCTATCCTCTTTGGGCTTCCTTTAAAAAAAAAAGCTCTTTTTTCCTGGCATGTTTCAATTTCCTTTCTGCTTGGGCTTTAATGATTCCTTACAGTTGTTTCTACTCTCTATTTTAGAGGAGAGGCAACTGGTAGTAGTTTTCAGGGAATGGGGGTATTTTTGTTTGCTGGAATTAATTTAAAAAAGATTAAACTGTGATGCCGAAAAGCAGAGGAGGAGCCGAGATCGGCTGCTGCTTGCTTTCGTGTTGGGCGTGTTTATGTACTGGGAGGGCACTTGCTGTTATGTGCTCTGGAAGGTACTGAAGGAAAACAGATCCACACCCAAGTCTAGTCACAGCAAGACACCACAACTGACTGAAAAGGCACATGCAGCCTATCCAATCCTATGATTATAATAAATATTCAGTTCCCACATTCACCATATTGCACATTTTAAACAAATGTTTAAAAACTACTTGACAAATTCTTCACCAGACTATCCCACCATGATATGAAGTAATGTACATATTACACAGTGTTTACCTTATCACTCACTTCCAAACACTGAATCCTCCAGAACATTCTAAATGCTATTTCAACATATGTTTCCTACTCTTTCTACTTCAAAATACATTTCCTACCGGTTCTGTCTGAAATCTTCCCTCCTTGGCACGGAAGACAATCGTAACAACAGGGAGGCTCTCCTTCTCTCTTGGCCTTTCTATAGCCTAATTGGCATTTTTCATTACACAGAGAAAGGGGACGTGTCTGTAGACAAAGAACAGAAGAAAACTATTCAGGTGTTTCTATCTTACTGTCCCATTCATGACATTATTTTCATCAGATACATCTTTGCTTGAATGATTGTGCAACATCTATCAATGCTACTTGCAATACTGGGACTCCTGTGTCCAAAAAACATTGCCTGATGCTAAAGAGTAGTCTCTAGAGTAGCGGAAAACAAGCTTGCTTCATCTTCAATACATATTTTCAAATATTTAACATTACTATTGTGTCCCCTCTAGGCTAAACATGCCCAGCTCTCAAAACTGGTTCTCGGAGGGTTTTGTTTCCATATCATTTACCATTTTGGTCATCCTCTTCTGCACACATTCCAGCTTTTCAATATCCTTCTTGAATTTTGGTGGCCACGGAGTTCACCATTCATCTGATTTCCCTAAGACCATGTCCAGTATAATAGTTGGCTCAATATATTTAAATATTTGTATTTTTGTGTTTGAACATTGAAACAATATCTAAATACAGCCTATATGGCTCTTACCTTAAATTTACTGGGCCAAATCATGTTATTTTCAGTAATGGTGAATTTGTTCTCTGGAGAAGCCTGAGGATTTATCTTTCCAACTTTTACTTTAAGGAAGGATATATTGGATAACACGGCCCAGTTGATAATGTCAAATCCAGCCACTAATTCTCCCTTTTGGTTGAAGGTGATCTCTTCCATGGCGCTGTTATTAAACGAGACACTTCTCAAAAAGCGGTGAAGCTAAAGTTGGGGAAGAAAAATAGAGTTCCCGAATATGATACACATAATATAAAATCACACCCAAAGAACAGACAGCATGTGGGGTAATACGTGGTGCAGAGTTTCTCTGAACATCTCCACCCATTCTTGGTCATTTATGTTAGTTATGGAAACTGTATGGGAGAAGGGGCCAATTTATCTCCTCCTATATGCTATAACCTATCTGAGGGTGGATCCAGGCAGACCTTTATCCCAGGAAAATCTGGGTTTTAAAAATGCGGATTTTCCTGGGGGCCTATCCACACCCACCCCAGAAAGCGCACACTTTCTTGGGTGAGTGTCCTGTTGCTCTTGTGGGACTGGCCCGCGAGAACATATGTAGGCCCTACCCCCTCCCCCAAAGCCCACAGACAAAAAGTAACAAAAACTTACCCGGCCTCCATGACAGGCTTCAGCCAACTCTCCTAGCATGTAGAAATGATGCGCTAGGAAAGCGAGGGCGGGGGGGGGGGTGTGTGAGCAATTTTCCTCCCTCCTCCACCCCCTTAGCCCGGTACATTATGGTAATACTGTCTGGACTGCAGTATTCTGCAGTCCAGAACTGGAAATAGTGTGTTTTCCTGGTTTGTAGTGAATTACTTTGAAACTGTCCAGAATGTTGTCTGGACAGACCCTCCTTTATTGTGGTAGATACTTAGACAGGCCAGCAGAAGTGGAGGAAAGATTCCATATACACAGATCAGACAATATATGCAAATATCCCTGTTTCACTAATCGATACAGTCGTCTGAACTTCATGAGCTTTCCACGCAGTAAAAGAACTATTGCTCCATATATCTGCAGGAAAAAAAACTTCTACAGCAAACAAATTACCTGCCATGGTTGTTCATTCCAGAAGCTCTGCTTTATGCCATTCCTCGTTGTTCTACCTCTAAATCTAGATGAATACATAGCATGCAAAGCATGTGCTACAGCGTAGATGGCATTGTAGATACTATAGCTATGGGCAGTCATGCTCATTTCAAAGAGGGATATAGGTAGTGTTTCAAGTTTCTCCTCTCCTGTGCACATTTTCACATCTTCCTTCTCCACAGAAGCATCAGGAAAGGAACAAAGAAACACAATTTCCCAGAATGCCCTCAAAAACCTGTCTTCTTTGTCCAAGGAAGGGTTTTTCATGTGAAGAAAAGTCTTGAAGCCCAAAAGTTCCTTTGAGTGAACTGCAAAGGAAATGGCACCATGGAGGAAATTTATGTCAACTTCCCTTTGCCAGGAAAATGAGGTGAATTCCATCTCGGCTGTTAGAATCCAGACTTTTGTATTGGTTCGTAGGGTTAAACCCTCTGCTTCTGCAATGAAGGGGACCAGTCTCATGGTCAAAAGGGTCTGGATTTTACCATAAACAACCACAACATTGGCAGTGCTCTTCATAACAATGTCAACTGCTGCAATACCTTTCTTTACCATGTTATCAAACTCAGAGGAATAGGTCATTTCAGGGAATTTTTCCATAAAAGCAAGACAAATGCCTCTCTTGGGAAATTCAAGAAGAACATTTTTTACAAATCTTTCTCCACTGTCATCACTGTGGTAAACCACCCCAATCCATACCCACTTGAAATGTAGCAGTAACTGGAGAATCCCATTGTATTGATCAGTTTCGTGTGGGAACATCCAATGGAGAAAAGCAGGTTGAATGTTGTTATCAGTTGTAACAGGAGAGCCATAAATTATCTAAAGATAATATTTAGTTTTAGGGGGAGGAAAAAATGAGAAGTAAATTGATAGAAAAGAGAAGCTAAACTTGAATTCAGATTTCATTATTTTTGTGTGTGAAGAGCAAAACATAATAACCAGGATAGTGAAATTTCTTTTATTTCTATATGTTAAAATAATAGAATTAGAAAAGTACACCTGTAGAAATTACTGTATGTTTCCTAAACTTCTGATGCCTCCTATTCAAGAAGGATGTCTTTTTTTTTTTCATGTCAGGAGGGACTTGAGAAATTGCTTCTGGTGTGAGAGAACTGGCCATCTGCAAGGATGTTGCCCAGGGAATGCCTGGATGTTTTGATGTTTTACCATACTTGTGGGAGGCTTCTCTCATGTCCCCACATGAGATGCTGGAACTGACAGAGGGAGCTCATCCACGTTCTCTCTGGATTCGAACCTCCGACCTGTTGGTCTTCAGTCCTGCGGGCACATGGTTTTAACCCATTGCGCCACTGGGGGCTCCAAGAAGGATGGTGAAGAACAATTATTCTAATACAGTAGAGTCTCGCCTATCCAACTTTCACTCATCCAACATTCTGTATTATTCAACGCAGTCTGCCTCCCGCCCGGATCCACAGTTGTTTCAATACATTGCAATGTTTTGGTGCTAAATTCGTAAATACAGTAATTACTTCATAACGTTATTGTGCATTGAACTGCTTTTTCTGTCGAATTGTTGTAAAACATGATGTTTTGGTGTTTAATTTGTAAAATCAAAAYGTAATTTGACRTTTAATAGGCATTTCCTTAWTCYCTCCTKATTATYYAASATTTTCRCTTCTCCAATGCTCTGCTGGCCTGTTAATGTTGGATATGTGAAACTCTACTGTATGTATCTGTATCCAGTAGTCTTTATTGTTCAGCCTTTARATTTGGATAAATTCATTGCCTCAAAATATTTGCAGTTTTTTTTAGCAGCACATCTCACCTGTGGCATTTTGTACAYGCTCAGGACACTTGCCATGTCGAAGCAGAATTCATAGTTAAGTCCTCCAATGACTGCTACTGGCAGAGTCTCAATATCACATTTGTAGTTTGGGAGGAATCTACCCYGCCTGGAGAGAATTTCCATTGAAGCACGATATGTCCAGCTTGAACTGAAATGAYTATTGTAGATGTGAAAACCAAGRGACATGTTAGGCAAGACTTGCTCATTTTCATTGACCTCCTTCACAGCAAATTCCAAGGCTGCAACATGCTGGTAGAGTTGTGGCATTAGCCTAAAATGAAAATCAGATATTGTTGAACACTATATCTTCTTTAAGTCAGGGATTCACTCAGTTTCTCCTTGATATATATAGAAAAAAATGTTCACTGGTATGCCTGCATTCTGAAAAATGTATGAAGAAATATGTGAAGTGGGGCACCAAGTCCTGAAAATCTGGTTTGTCTGAACAGGAGCTCAACTTCTAGCACAATGCTACTAGATTAGGCATGGGCAAACTTCAGCCCTTCAGGTGTTTTGGATTTTAATTCCCACAAATGAGAAAATGAAGTTGGTACTTGGTAGCATGAATGTTGGTAGACTACTTCTTTAGATACATGAAGTGCTTAGTGACAAACTTTTATAGGCAGACTGTTCCTATCACCGTTCTGAGGACCAAAATATATTGGAAGTTCCCAGTTTTAAGACCTTGTGTCTAACAGCAACCAGAAGCAGAGCCTTTACAGCAGTGGCACCATCACTCTGGAACACTCTGCCACCTGAAGTCCGTGCCTTGCGGGACTTATCAGCGTTCTGCAGGGCATGTAAGACACATTTGTTTTGACAGGGTTTTGATCTTTGATATTGCTGTTTTAAAAAAAATTGTTTTAGATTTTAGTCTGTCCTTGTAAGCCGCTCCGAGCCTAGGGGAGTGGCAGCATATAAGTTTGAATAATAAATAAATAAATAAATAATATCCCATCACCATATCCATTTGTGGATATGGTGATGAGATGACAAGTTCTGTATTAATGATGATTATTGGGAGGCATGAGGGAAGATATTACCTAATGGCAAGATGAGTAGACAAGACAACCATATGGAAGGAACTAGTGGAATGCAGTTTGGAACAAGAAAGGAAATCTGATAAACTGACCAAGGGGGGCTTAATGGGTCTGGGAGGTTAAATAGCAATAGTTGTAGTAGTAGTAGTAGTAGTAGTAGTAGTAGTAAATGTTATTGATTAGCCCTTAAGCCATATCGCAATACCAAACCAACCCAAACAAAAAGGCTTGATAAAACTTGATTACACTCTATATAGTAAGTTAAATGAATACAGTAAATAAATATAATAAAACTGAATATATTCATCATGTTTCCGTGTCACCCCTATAATTTATCCCAAAGGTTAAATAGTTTTATAATACATGTCATGTGTAGCGAACCATTGTCTCTAAGGTGATACAATACTCTTTGCATACTTCATTCTATACTATGTCATTGTGGTTATAGCAATACTAACAGTGGAATCAGCAATCATGGACATCATCCTAGGTCAAATCTGGAAACATGTGCATTACCAATGTTATGTTTAGAAAATGAAACTACTTACAAAGAGTCATCAAGTTCCTGAGATGGTCGGTTTTCAAAGTTTACAGTATTTGAAAATAAATGGACCTGAGACAAAATAGCAGCAACGATAAAGTGTCCTGAGTGATAATATTGGTGAACAAAAGGAGAAGCCTCTTGGATGGAACATTGAGTAAGTGAAGTCTTGCCTAAGACCTTGGGCAGCAGCAGAACTAGCATGAAAGCCAACAGCATCACAAATATGACCACATTGGAAGGGCTCATCTCGGGCACCTGTTATTCTCTTCTCTCTTTGGTACTCTGTCTCCTGGCAAGAAAACAATGGTATTAGCACACTTCTTCTTAGATGGCTGAAAGATAGCAACTTGCAATATAAAGAAAAAGTGCTTATGTGCTTATCCTGTTATTCCAGATACTCAGACTGACAGGTGCATGAGGATCCATATGCTAAGCTCCAATGTTACCAAATATATTAATATCCCTAATTCATATTTTTCACAGAATCATTTTAACTCCTCAGTGTAAAGGGAATCCTCAGCCATAATTATGACTGGTTTGATAATAAGGATAGTTAATTACTCAGATTTGTTAGTTCATTGTGGCATTTCAAAGAAAAACATGTTTATCATGTCTTGACTTAGTGTAAGAGCAAATAAAATTGTGAAGGGAGGGAAACTTCCTACAAAGGATACTTTAAAATTTTCCCCTCTTTTCTACTGTAGGAATCAAATCTGGACCAGAACCTGGGGAAAAGTTCCTGCTCAGATTAAAACTCTCAGAATATTCACTCAGCATATCCAATAGACATACCGCCTTTGAGTATTTTGGAAGCTGTAGTCCAAAAAGCAACGTTTCCAAGCTTAGATCTGGGTCCAAATATTTGTAGTGAAAGAGACCTCCAAAGTCTAGATTCCAGCAGAGAAACTTCCCATTGGGTGCCTTCAACTATTTTGATTTATGGTGATTCTAAGGACTTTATCACATCGGTTTGTTTATTTATTTATTTATTTATTTATTTATTTATTTATTTATTTATGTATTTATTTATAGTATTTATACTCTGCCCTTCTCACCCCGTAGGAGCTTCAGGGCAGATTACAGTGCACATATACATGGCAAACATTCAATACTATAGACACACAACATATATAAACAAACACAGAAGCATTTAATCTTTATGAGGGTATATTAAATTCCAGCCACCGGGGGAGCTGTCACTTTATGGTTCACTTGTGGCATCAAGTCCTTGATGGAGTACTTCCTCATTCTTTCGCCCACTGCTGGAGATTTTTATGCCATCATAAATTAGTTAAATTAGCCTCCTTGCATAAGCGGTACCTAAATTTCCTACGTGACAGACTCAACTGTCTTTCGGGCTGCAAAGGTTGACAGTGAGCTAGACAAATGGTCGGGGCTTACTCAGACCCGGGCTATGGTTGAACAGAAGCTCTCCGAAGCTCTAGGTGCTCTTACTGCCTATTACAGGGAAAACCAGCTGATCCCCAACCCATCTAAAACACAGACATGTGCCTTTCATCTCAAGAACAGAGAAGCATCCCGAGCTCTGAAGATCACCTGGGAAGGAATCCCACTGGAGCATTGCAGCGCACCCAAATACCTGGGAGTCACTCTGTACCGTGCTCTTACCTACAAGAAGCACTGCCTGAATATCAAGCAAAAAGTGGGTGCTAGAAACAATATCATACGAAAGCTGACTGGCACAACCTGGGGATCACAACCAGATACAGTGAAGACATCTGCTCTTGCGCTGTGCTACTCTGCTGCTGAGTATGCATGCCCAGTGTGGAACACATCTCACCACACTAAAACAGTGGATGTGGCTCTTAATGAGACATGCCGCATTATCACAGGGTTCTGCGCCCTACACCACTGGAGAAATTACACTGCTTAGCCGGTATTGCACCACCTGACATCCGCCGGGAAGTAGCAGCCAATAGTGAAAGGACCAAGGCAGAGACATCTCCAGCTCATCCCCTGTTTGGGTGTCAGCCAGCACGTCAACGGCTGAAATCTAGAAAGAGTTTTCTAAGAACTACAGAGACACTCGCTGGAACACCTCAGCAAGCGAGAGTCCAAAAGTGGCAGGCTCAATCCCAGAACCTCAACCCATGGCTGATACCAAATGAGAGACTCCCCCCTGGGCACACAGAGGACTGGGCGACTTGGAAGGCGCTGAACAGACTGCGCTCTGGCACCACGAGATGCAGAGCCAACCTTCAGAAATGGGGCTACAAAGTGGAATCCACGACATGCGAGTGTGGAGAAGGGCAAACCACTGACCACCTGCTGCAAAGCAACCTGAGCCCTGCCACATGCAACATGGAGGACCTTCTTGCGGCAACACCAGAGGCACTCCAAGTGGCCAGATACTGGTCAAAGGACATTTAACCAACTACAAATTTTGTAATCTGCTTGTTTTGCTTTGTTCTGTTAGAAATGTAACATAATTTGACTGGTTTATTCTGACATGACAAATAAATAAATAACCTGGTTTATACTCTACTTTTGAGCCCCTTTGCATGTGGTTCCCAATGGGTCCTATCACATGACATTTGTTTCTTTTCATCAACAATATATTGGAATCTGTCTGCAAAAGGTCTCAGAAACAGAATAATTTTGTTCTTAATTTTTACTGAAATCTGAACAATATCTTTGTCCTGTTATATCATGCTGAAGAATAGTGATAAGATAAACGTATTACTGCGCAAATGCAAGGTCTTGTCCCAACAATGGTAGCTTGGGCTTTCCAGGCTATGCCACTGTATAAAAAAATGGATTGGAAGGAGACAGTCTTCTGTGTTGTGATGAATCAAAGCTTTCAAAAGGTAGAAACCAAATGTGATGGAAGTTGTATCCATCCTATGCGAATGCAATATGCATCAAGCCTTTAAAACTAATGGGTGCATAATAGTATCTGATGGCACGTGGGAGCTAAAGGGAAAACTATATTGTCTGACTTTACTCAGGGGCTATCTGTATATCTTCGGTTAAGATTAAGACCCTTAGCACTTTGAGACAAGGTGAAAAGATAACCAAATGAGTTTACTGAAACAAGTTGAATAAAGGGTTAACTTCACCTGGCACGTAAAACAATACATTACAAAAGGATATTTTGCTGGTTGCAGTCATCTCTCTGGAATCTTCTGCCCCTGGTGCAAAGCAATGGTTATAAACTGTCTTAATCTTCTTCCCTGTGAAGCTTAGGCTGGCCAAAAGCTTCTGTTGTCCTTTGGACTGATAGTATAAAATACTGCTAAATGCAGGTGCTTAGAATGCCTGTTTTGGATTGCTAGGGCCTAGGATACCAGACAATCTGTAGTTCTGTTAACTGTAGCTCTGATGCAGAAAAAGGAGGAGCCCAGGAAGAGCTTCATACAGGGAAATGGAATAGACCAACTAAGACTGGCCTCGGGGGGGGGGGGGGGGGGGGGGGGAGGTGACTAGCCTCTACCCAAAACTAATACAAAGAAAAGTGTCTACACTATTGGAAGGCCTATGAACAGGGGGATCTTAAGCAGAGAAGGCAGAGCCAAGACTTCATATAGTACTTTACTGAATATTATTGTGATGAGGTCCTAAGGTGAATGCACGTCAAGGCTCTATTGGCAAGATTTGTCACACCAAAACCTCCCTGACAAGTTTCACTTAGGGTCAACATGAATACGAAATAGCGTGAAAGAACCACAGCAACAACAGTAACAACAACAAATGATGGTATATTGCCATGGTTGTCATACTTGGTCCTCCAGGTGTTTAGGTCTTCAACTTCCATAAATTCCATCCAGTTTGCCAACAATCAGGAATTCTGAAGGCTGAGGCCCCACTTTGTTTGAGTTCTTTAAAGTCATTCTAACCCTAAAGTAAACCTTTTTTTGGGGTTTTCTTAGCAACATTTCTTCAGAAAATTGTCTTCTCTAAGTCAGAGAGCATGAATCATAACAGAGTTGAAAGCGACCACATGGACCATTTCTAGTCCAACCCCCTGCCATGCACAATCATAGCACTCCTGACAGATGGTCATCCAGCCTCTGTTTAAACAGTTATTCCCAACCTGTGGTTCATGGACCACCAGTGGTCCACAAAAACTAAAATATGGCCCATGGCCTCACTGTTTTTACACAATTGCAACGAGAGTGACTGGTCTCGCAAACCCCTCTTATAATGCTGAGGCACTCTCCACCTCCTCCCTCTATGTGGGGCTGATTTTGAAGAGTGCTCAGGAACTTCCGCTTGTCTGAAGAGCTGCAGCCAGGCTGCTAGCAAGGACTGACTGCAGGGAGCGGACAACACCCTTGTTGCAGCAGCTCCACTGGTTGCCAGTTTGTTTCTGGGAACAACACAGAATGCTGGTTATGACCTCTAAAGTCCTATATGGCTCAAGTCCAGACTATTTGGCTAACTACATCCCCTTGTATAAGCATCCTAGGCCCTGAGGGCTTCGAGAGAGGCCCTTCTCTCAGTCCCACTTCCATCACAATGAGAATGAATAGGGTATTCCTTCTCGGTGTCTGCCCCTCAGCTTTGGAACTCCCTTCTTCCTTGAGAAGTCAGAATGGCCGCTTCCCTGCTGTCCATCCAGTGGCAGGCTAAAACTCTTATATTCAGGCAGGGTTTTAAAGAAGGTGGTAGCGGCTTTTGCTTTAATTGTATATGTTTTTTATGGATTGTAACTGTGAATTTTTAATACAATTGATGTTTAATTCTGTGTTAATATTTCTATTTTTGTACATTTTCCCCACTCGAGGGATTGATATATATATTATAATTATATATTTATATTACATGTAATATTACTAATAATATTACAATATAATGGCATAATACAATATAGTAATAATTAATACTGATATTGTACTATGCTAATAATATAATATGTTATATGTATATATATCTTGTAAGCCGCTCTGAGACCCCTTTGGGGTGAGAAGGGCGGCACATAAATGTTGTAAATAAATAAATAAATAAATAATGTGAACCCACCGGTCATTGGGTTAATCATGCACTAGATGTGCACCTCACCTAGACTACTGCAACGCTCTCTATGTAGGGTTGCCTTTGAAGACGGCTCGAAAGCTTCAATTAGTCCAACGTTTGGCAGCCATGATTCTAAC